CCTTCTCAAATCTAGTCCAACAATGACTTCAAATCAGGAATAAATGTCTCCCACTCTCCTGCCTTTGATTTTTCCCATTTGCTGTTCCCTTTAAAAGTCTCGTTCTTCCCTGAATTCATGACAGTAATGCCAAATGCTATTCTCCATGTTGGTAATTCTGGGCCAATTCGATCAAAAGCGTTAGAAATATTTACAAGTCTCAGATCTTCAGTGTTATGCATAGAAATGACTTGAATACATACAAAAAAAGGAAGGGGGAGTCCTTCAAATGTTATCATTTATTTCAGGTTCAGAAATACAGCTTCACATTTTCACAATAGGTACATGTGACCTTCACGACTGATACAGGCTTTAGGAAATGGCTTCAAATTTTCCATTGCAGAGTCCATCCATATACCAGCATTCAGAAACCCCAAAGTGCCAACAAGACAGTGGAAAGTATTCTGGCTCAAATTAATCAAAGACAACAGCAGAGACAAGATTTTTGCTTCTGTACACTGCTTCTTCATAGAAAGGCAAAAGAGGAATTTGATTTAAAAGGGGGAGTAAAAATAACATAGACAAGCAAGCAAAAACACAGACTGTACATGTGAAATCCAACTCCAATGCAGTCATGGTGAAGTTTCTGGTTGGCAGGAATAATTTTTATCACATTGGCAGCAGACAATGCAAGAGGTTAGACAGAGTAATTTTTATCATAACTTTCAAAACATTACATAATGAGCAAAATTGGAGGGATTCAAGGATGAAAATTAGAGAAATAGATGCCTTGAGCTGAGCCAGGCGAGAAACCCAGATCAGAGAAGTAAAAGGTCTCAGGAACATACCAGAATGAACAGATCTTGAGACAAACAAGAGACTGTCCTTGAGCTTTCCCTCTCTCATTCTCACACATTCACACATTCTTACACATATATACCAAGAGCAAAGCTGATACTACATATGCTTCAAAAATAGTCTTAAAGCTCAGAATACAGAGCACCACATAATTTTAAACACACCAACTAGACAGGATGACTTAAGATTACCTAGAAGACTCATTTGAGCTTTTAAGAAAGGACTGAGTGATTGAGTGAACTCACAATTGTTTCTCTGAAAACCATCTAGCTTCACATTCAACTCTCAGTTCAGAGCTAGCAGTCCTCTGTGTGAAATGGTACAAATCTCGTGCCTTGAGTTTCACATAGTATCTCCTTTCATTGAGGTCCATAAATAGAGATTTATGTATGTACGATTTAGTCTCAATGTTAAGGAGATTCCTGTTAATTTCAAATTCCAAATACAAAAGTGTTCACTTGAAAAAGGGGATCGGTGACCTATCTCCAAAATATTAAAAATGTCTCTTCTGCATTTTTAGCCAACTTATTCAGAGAGATCCACTGCTTTTATTACATTACTGTATCCCTCTACTTCTTTGCTAGAAAGAAAATATGACTATGTAGACCAACTTAGCTGTTTAAGAGTCAGCTCAGCAACCCAAGGATAATTAGAGATCTTAAAGGTGGGTTTCCAGGTCTTACACTTCTGATCGAACTATATCAGCAAAGGTTATTTCTTCTTAGACAGCAATGCTGTGATTTAGATACAAATGCCTGTGGATGTTATTCCAGCATATTGTCATGGTATCTATTAGCTTTGTGCTTCTCAGCATGAATACAATCTGGATAAAATTTTGTATGCCTCACATACTGTCTGAGAAATGGACCACTGTTGTTACATATAATGGCAGACTCTCCAAAGCTACCTCTTGTATTAGCACAGTTTAAAAAATAGATTCAGATCCACACATACAAAGCACATATATACATACATATTTATACCCATACCCATACCCATACATACAGTGCACATACAATCACACTCATGCTTGTGGCATTTTAACAAGGGCTTTTAAACCTACTTATCCAAAGGGGCACAGAATACAGGTACTTACAGAAACAAACTGACTGTGTGTATACTGTCACACATGAAGACACATGCATAGAAAAGGTGTTTGTACACGGAAAACATCAACATTGATCACATACTGGTATTAGGTCCATTTCATAATTGAGAATTATGACTGATGCTATACTAAAAAGCCATAAAATTAATCTATAGCACTACTTTTTAATCCTAAAATTTTAATCCTAAATCAGAAACTGATTTCATGACAATGTTTTGGAATAGATGAGTTTACATCTGAACACACAGGCCATTTGTTAATAAACAGACCCCACTGCTCTTCTATGTTATAAAACACAGCTAAAAGCAATAATCAGAGAGTAATTTTGGGTAGATGATTTCTGGAAATGCAATATACTGTTCTGAATTAATACTATTTCAATAATCTGTCCATAGTTGAGTAAATGTTTATTCCAAATTAGTCAATAAGCATGCAAGATTTAGCATGTGATAATAAAAATAGACTGACCTATCAAATAGACAGTTTGTTTTTCCAATTCCTAAAAAGCTGTGTATTTTATTTTGTTATGCTAGACATGACGAAGTTCCATCTATCACACAGACAATATCAGCGTTCAGAGGAAGTTACAACAGACCTGAAGTGGAATGGAAAACACTCAGGAAGCTCACAGAGCTACATTCCCACCTTACGGCTTGATAGGAACACTGTACTTCAAATTGTACACACCCGCTTCATTCACATTGACACCTCCCTTTAGCGGGATGCAAAACTCTGGGAAAGGCATTAATGCTAAGCATGCCACACTGTAGCAAAATAAACATATTCTCTAACACAACAACTGAAATTCCAGGAGAGGCCAGGTCTCATCAGAAATAACTCGAACTAGAACAACTAGAAGAAAAATAGACTCACAGAGAGAGACAGTTGGGACAGGGAAACTGATTATACTGAGAGCAAGGGCCAGGAGGACAAATGCCATTGTTTATGTGCATAGGATCAGGGGAAGGGAACTTGGAAAAAGAATCTCCCATTTTCTCTGACACGGCTTGTGCTGATCTAAGAACACGCCTGTGGTTATCCACAATATTTTCCTTTAACAGAAGGACATTTTTGAAATACAGCAAAACGCAAAACCACATGGAGCACAAAGCCAAACCCTTTAGTATATGTTCCGGGAGCTGCCTATTTTAGAGAATTCAAAGGAAGAAGCAAAGGGAATCCTTAAAAGAGAGGATTTTTATAAAAATATTTTACTGTAGATTATTTTACTATGAATGTTTACTTAGTATATTTCCATTTAGCTGTGACACTATTTTAAAGAGAACATGTTTCCTTCACAGAGAGTTAATAATATTTTTTCCAATGGAAAAGGAAAGGTATAAGAAGATTTAGGGTGGTGATCTTTATACAATCACACAACTTAAGAGACAAAAATGCCCTTCTTATGAATCTTGAACTCTCTGAGTTTTGCTTAAGTGGGCTAGCTGTAACCTTTTAGAATAAGTTCAAAACAATGCCATTTAGCTTGGCGAGTTCTCTTTTTAATAATGGTTGAAAGTTTTTACTTCATACTTTATGGGTGCCTGCTTTGGGTATAAACTACACAGGAAATTAAAGTTAAGTTAACATACAAATCATGTTTGCTACTTTCAAAGCGAGACATTTCAGTTGGTGAAAACTGATTTACTTCTGCAGAATATGAAATAGAGTCTCCGGACGCCGCCGTCCAGTGAATACTTGGTCTGCTGTCTGGGAACAGTTAGCAGACAAAATTCCAGTTGGCTTCTGGCTGTTTCCTATGTGCTAATCATCTGGTCCTAGGTCATCGAAACTCTGCCTCGAGACTGAACTATTAACCTCCAGGTGAAAGGGCTCTTGTAAATTTCAGAAACGTTCCAATTTGCCCATTTGCTTTGAATCTCAATGTCTTAATGCCATTTTCTGGAATGACCTGGATAAAGACTCTGAAGTTGTCTAAGTGACTTTTCATTTTATTCCAGGTTCCATTCCTTAAATATGGTTATCCCATAGTGAGGCTCACGATTTGTAAAGAAAGCCTAGAATGGATAGGAAGTTGCTTTAAGCTTGTTTTAAAGGTGGGATAAATTTTTACATAAGAGAATTACATGTCAACAGAGAGAGGAATATTTTTGCTCCAACCAACATAATAAATAAATCAACTGGAGTTAGTGTCAAAGTGTAATCAGCCCTGCCTAAAATTAGATGAATCTGAAAAAAAAGAAAAGAAAAAGAAAAAGATATTTTCCATGTCAGCCTCACTGTGACCTAGGAGGAGGTGATTATATAAATGAATAAAGAAAATACATTTTCCAGATGTTCGTAGAGATGTGATATTTTGCTTCTTCCTGAATTCTAGTAAAAATCTATTGACTGCCTACAGAAAAACAAGCTCTGAGTCGCTGACTGCTGAATGTGCTTCTAGCATGAAACCAAACACACTGGCATGAGGGGAAGCCCTCTGGAGCAACCAAGGCAGTAACTTTTCCTTTGAGAATGACCTCACGCTTCTGGAAAAGCTTTATTCTTAAGAAAATCCCAATTAAAAAAAAAATCACTTCCCAGCAGCCTTATGAAATAAAGAGGAATGGATGGATCTAAACAGGTAATTATGGAGTAGACAGACACATTACTAAACAACACCATTTCTGTCAGCCAAAACAGAACGTGGCACAGTAAACGTGTATGGCTTAGGTCTAAGCCCACCATCTGATATCTCTTAAGAATTATATTTAATGGGCTATCTGGAAAGTAACCTGGGAAATTTCTTGTTCAAAGAAATTTCAAATATATGCCAGCGTAGGCATATTGTCCCCAAGGTACAGGGCTGCCATACAAACCTACCTTAGTCGATACAACATAGGAAGGCTCAAAGGGTCAGCAGTTTCCAAGAGTCAAACCCCAATGGTTTGACATACCATGAGCAATGCAGATGAGTGACGGATGCATTAGTAAAACTGGTTACTTGTCTACTGATGTCCACACATGCGACTACTCATGATTTACTGCAATGGTTATCAAATATGTTGCTTTCATACAATTCGTTAGTAATTAACTGCCATGCCAGACACTCCGTTTAGTCTAATAAGGATTCTAGTGGACGGATTATAGTGGGACGAGTTGGTGATGGGGGTGGTCTCCGGCTAGAAAGAGAGAAAGAGAAAGGTAAAGAAACAGGTAGACAATCTAGCAGAAGGCTGCCCCAAAGACACTGAAGAAGAGCCATTGCCCACATGCTCATGCAGAGACAGGCCAGCAGGCGTGGTTGCCACCTGTGGTAATTTTAATACTGTTAGCTTTCATTCACCCATCATTTTTTAAAACAAAAGTGAGGAGTTTTTCATATGCAAATCTTTCTGAAAACATAAGTCATCCCTCCCAACAGCAGTGCAAATATTAAGTCATTGAACAACCATCTGAAACAGTCTGCATATGCTTAACCAATAGCGTATGATCACAGAGGGTTAGTTGTACTGTGTAACTATAAGGTATAGTCTAGGAACCAATGATAGGCTTTAGAGAACGAGGGGCTTTGAATTTTTATTTTCCTTTATGTAATATCTTCCTTTTTCCCCCCTCTCATTGTCAGGATATTAGTGAGCATTTCTCATCCATTCGAGCAATTGCTTTCTCCAATTTGTTCTATATTGACATCTAATTGGCAGAAAGCCAGAGGATCAAGGTTTTTGGAGTCCTCTACAATAATTGTCAATAGGCTCAGGATGAGTACTCAAGTATCTGAGCACCAGAGTAAATTGCATGACCTCTTGTTCCCATTTTGGGTCCTAAAAGTTTTAGTATTGGTAGTAATTTTGTTCACTTTTTAGTTGGTAATGGTGTTTCTGATAGCTGAGGTTGCTGAATAAACAAACTCACGATAATGTAATATTATTGTACCTGACAATCTCAATTTTACCAAGTAATATTCTTCATTTCCTGATCTTCCACATTTATTTCCTAAGTGAGTTAATAAGTCTTTGTGCTTGGCTTTGTATGTAGTATCTTGGGGAATGATTTTTATAACCTACCAAATTCAATAAATTCCATAAATTAACACCTTTCTTCTTGATAAAAATTCTCCCATTGATCTCATTGGTCCCCCTCTCCTCCCAGAAAGATCTCTTCTTGAATGTTGCAGTTTGCCAACCACGGAGTTAGGGAATTTCACTTGGGAAAAAGTGCATCTTAAAACTATAAATTCAGTTACAAGTAGGATACAGCGTGGCATGGTGGACTGGAAATTGTTTCATGCACACATGATAGTTTGGACCAAGGACTACAGCCAAACAGGGAAAGGAATGCAAACTGGGTTCTTTTGTGATCCTTTTGTTCTTGGCTCAAATGTCTTTCCTCAGCCCTTTCTGACCACCACCATCCCAATCACTTCATGATGTTTATGTATTTCATAGTACTCACCCGTTTTTAATTATGTATTCATTTTCTAGATTATTGCCTGTGTCTTCCTAGTAGATTCCTTGAGAGCAGAGACCACATAGTCCGTATTTATTACATGTCTTCAGCATTTAGTATAATGTGAGTAGAAGGCAGTGAATAAATGTTTATTAAATAATGGGCAAACAAATATATGAAAAGTGCCCAACAAAAGATGTTTAACCAGGTTAAAGTATAGGCCAGGTCAATGAGTAGGTTCAATGAGTCTGGAAATGTAACACTTGGAGGCTTATTTGAAGCATTAAGTTTGTACAGAAAGAATCCAGAATCAGAAGTCAAAAGATGTAATTCCAGCTCCAATAGCCAATTTGTACAATTATTAACTCACTAACTATATCTAAGCCTCAGTTTTCTCATATGTGATGTAGGAGACTCACTAGAGGACCTATAACGTGCCTTCCAGTTATGCATTGCCTGCATTATTTATTGAGCACCTACTATGTGAACTGCAATTATGCTACATGATTTTTAAGAACTCAGAATCTACTCCTGGTGGAAGACAAGTGGGACAAAACAAATCTGCAAGGAGTTCTACTATAGCACCCCAAATTAAGTGGGAGCAATAGAGCACATTTTTGTAATTAGGACTCTGAGAATATGTTCTGGGAGGTTGAAAATACAAAAATGTGATCAAAGGAATGGCAAAGAGGATAAAACCCGGATGTTGTAAGATAATGCAGATCTGCAAGGAGGTAAAAGAAAGCAGAAATTAAGTGATGAAGAATGAAGGGAGGAAGTCAACACTGGGGATAGAGAATAGAAAGATTTCAAAACTCTGATGGCCCAGTAACTTCTCATTAACCTCCTCCCCAGGCCTTGCACCACGCTGACGGGACCAGAGGAAGACGACAGTAATAGGCAGCCCCAGAAGGCTGGACCCCCGGAGGATGCGGCTTTCTGCCATGTGCCAGGACTTTTGTGTCTTGTTCACCACCATATCCCAGAGCTTAGCATGGTCTTTGGCTCATCCTACCTTTTTTCCCCAAATAAATCAGAGAATCTATTCATTATGAGCTTTTCAAAAGTCCCTAGGACCTTCCATTGAATGGCAATAGCATACCTGAGTGGTGATTTCATGATTCAAAGAATAATAAAATTTCTATCATATCCTCTCAAAATAATTATGACTTTTTAAAAATATGCCCACTTCAGCTAAAAGTAACCCATATATGCACTTAGTCGTTAAAAACTCCTACAGAGCCCCTAAATCTTCTGGAAGAAATGAACATCATTTTCTTTCTAAAACAATAACCTCCCCCCAATAATCTATACTAATAAAAGGGTAATATGCTAATCAGACCAGACATCATCTGGACATCCTTCCGGACAAAGCCAGGGTTGAGGGGGCTGAGGCAGAGGTGGTTAGGGGCGATCAGGCTGGCAGAGGAGAGCAGTTAGGGGTGATCGGGCTGGCAGGCAGAGGTTAGGGGTGATCAGACAGGCAGGCAGTTGAGTGGTTAGGAGCCAGTGGTCCCAGATTGTGAGAGGGATGTCTGACAGTCAAACATCCTCTTAAGGGCCCCAGATTGAAGGGGGTGCAGGCTGAGCTGAGGGAAACCCCTTCCCCAGTGCACAAATTTCATGCACTTGGGCCTCTAGTCTGTATATAAAACTAGAAAGCAATTCAGGAGGAGTGTGAAGTTGTTCAGCATGAATTTTCTTAAGTAATGCTAAGATGTCTGCCAACTTCAACACCAGAGGAACGTTCAGGGTTTATTGTTAAGGTTCATTTCATTGGTCTGGTTCCTAACCATTCAAATTTCCAAGGACATTCACCTCATAAGACAGTTTGTTTTGAGCAGAGCAAAGTTATTTGTTTTGTGCCGAGCTTCCCTCAGCTGCTCTTTCAGTGATGGGCTGCGTTAAGGAACCCCTCCTATTGAAATGGAGCAGCTTGACTCACTTAATGTTTATTGAAACACTGTGTTGTGTGTGGGCGGTTTATGGTTACGATACAAGAGCCATGTTTCTGCTTCCAAACCAAAGGGAAAGATGTAATATTTGAGGTTGCATGTGTAGCTTCAGGGATGGACCGGCTACAGTACTTGGGACACTGACAAATTTCGTTAAGAAAGTCAAACGCTCACACAGGGTGGGTGGCATTGAGGGGGAGAAACTGGCCTCGCTGATACGACAGAAGAATGTGTGATGGGTCTTCTTATCCCTTTCGATTCTCTCTTTAAGAACTGGAAGAACAAAAGTCTCACGTGCTCTTCACTGGGTTAGCTGGTTCTGACTATCAGGATGTGAGGCCCACCTCAACACGGGTGGGGAGCGTTCAGAGGGCATGCAGCTCCCGTGCATCAGTCTGAGGGCTGAGGTGGAAAGGACCGTTACTGAAACGGACGGACATTTCTGCTCCTGCCCTCATTCCTCCTCAGGATGGGACGTGGGAATTGCCAGCGTGGGGGATGTGAGAGCCCCTCCGTGTAGCTCAGTGTCCTTCCTTCCCTAGGCAGAAACCAGTATCTACCACCTGCCGCTCAGATTCTTTCTTCAGAGCAGTTACACTGTGTGTTCCAAGGCAGTGCTTCCCCAACCAGGCGGCGCTTCCGAGTTCCCTGGAGGACTTGTTAAAGCACAGGATTCTGGAACCCACGCAGAGTTCTAATGGGGCGAGACCTTTCTAGCATGTTCCCAGACGCTGCTGGTCCTGGGACGAGGCTTGGAAAACCACTATTCTAAGGCATGCTAAATCATTCTGACCTTCTTTTATTTTAGCAGTTCAACTCACTTGCCAGATAATGTCCCAGCAATAAGAGAAGGTGCAGGGGGGAAGGGGGGGAGGATGGCGGGGAGAGGGAGAAGGAATTTCAAGAAGAATGAAAGAAATGTGGCAAAGAGACTTTGATATTTTTGGGAATGGGACGTAAGCATGGGTCAAATCGGTTTTAGGTTTATATTATGAGGACCAAGATACTAAACTATGGTAGTTTTCTTCATCACCAGAGAAATAACTACTTGCTTAGGGATGATTGCATAGAAAGCAAACATCTCGAAACATGCATTCCAAATTCTCATCCTTGGAGAGGGTATGGTTGAAGTCCAACCTAATTAACTAGATGGATGCAGATTAAAAAAAAAAAATCCTAAAAAAAATATACAAAGATTTACATTTCTAGAGGAATGATATCTAAATGGGTAGTAATTTGCATAAAATATATGGGATAGGCTTCTTTTATAAGTTCTACTTATTAAATACAATTGAAGCTTTAAAATACCACTGTCTCAAAAAGTCAATTTATATATAATTACATTTAGGATCACGGGAGGGTTATGCACTTCCGGTTTCTAGGAGCCACAAGAACTTGACATCAACTTGCCCAATTTTTTTTTAAAATATATTTTATTGACTTTTCACAGAGAGGAAGAGAGAGAGATAGAGAGTTAGAAACATCGATGAAAGAGAGTCATCGATCAGCTGCCTCTTGCACACCCCCTACTGGGGATGTGCCCGCAACCAAGGTACATGCCCTTGACCGGAATCGAACCCGGGACCTTTTAGTCCGCAGGCCGACGCTCTATCCACTGAGCCAAACCGGTCCCGGCCAATTTTTTTTTTTTTTTATCTTGTTGATGAAACAGGCCCAAAAAGAGGGGGAAAGGGGGAAGGATTTGTCTACTAAACCACAAGAAATAAGATACCTCCTTTCTTTTGGCTACATTTGGCCAATTTCTTAGAAAACAAAAG